GTTTGTTTTACTAATTACATCATTGAAACTGAGTTTGTGGATGAAGCGGGGGGACAACTGATCAGAGTGAATTGTTTGCTTCCTCTCCAATTAGTATTTCCTACGAGGGTAATAACTCAACAAGCTTGTGGCAATGAGTCTTACAGTTAAGCTTAAGAACAAACTTTTTCTGGAAGCAGTCTTGACGTCCGTCTTCCAGTTGCATTATTGCTAAGGTGAAGCATAAAATAAGGGAAAAAAGTTACACTACTTCGAATGAGAGGAAAGTCTGATATTAAAAGGTATCTGGTCACTTCATTAAAAAATAAAGGAAAATATTTTGAAATACTAAGAACAAGCACTATTTGGCTCCTGCCATGTGTGATAACAGCTCCTAGAGCCTACTTTAAATGGATAACAGTATCTGAACCTTACAGTTTTTCTACAGTGACGCACCTGCTATTAGGTTTAAATCCTTTACATTTTTAAATGGCAACCAACTGGCTTTGATATTTCATGACCAAACATGAACTCAAGCAATCAAGTCCTGAAAATTCTCAATCATGTTTAAGAACAGAGTCCTTGTGAGGATTTTCTCCTCATGCATAAAGAAAAGTTTTAGAAGTTCTTGTGTGTGTACACATCAAAGGCTACTTTAATAAAATGCAATTCAGCATAACAGTGCAAGACTGCACAGTTATGGTTTGAAAAGTTCCTTTTGCACAGTGCAACACGTAACTACACGCACAAAATTAGAGTTTCAGAAACAAGTAATTGTTGAACTCCCTCACTTGTCATATAAAATCATGGCATCATTCTGCGCTTCTTGCCCATCATACTGGCCTTTTTTGGCAGCAAGTTGAGACTGGAAGTTATCTGCTGCCAACCAGAACTGCAATACGTTAACTGCATCTTCCTTCTCCATGTACTGGAAAGGAAATTAAAAAAAAAAAAAAAAAAAAAAGAGGGGAAATTAAAGAAGCTTTAGCAAGAAACTTTAAATAAGCATAAACAAACCTGCTCCTTCCCATTTAAAACAAGAAACATAGTCCATATGTAATGACGCAAAATTGTCACCAGGACATATAAATATTCTGAATTTTCAGATACAGGGTTGCAGACAGATTTAATTTGTTTAAAAAAGAAAAAAGAACTTGTGACATTTCTTTTCTGTACTGATTTTCACATTTAGTTTCCAAACAACTATTTATTTGTACCGTACTAAAGACAGAGGAAACGCAATTTCCATGCTATGCCTTAGCTTACATTGAACTCAGCGTACCATCTCAACTTCCCAGCTTGCTGTTTCCAACAACACTGGCTTGTCAGACTATCAGAACAAGTATTTTACTACTAACAGATGATTCCCTAAAGGTATAGGACTCCTCAACTGTAAAAATCATACATTTAACTGACCACATCCCATCTGGTATCCTCTCTACATAAAAATAGTGAATTATTTGTTATCTGTAAGAACGCTTAAGGCTTTTCAAAGTCACTACTTCATTTGGCAAGATTAAGGTGACTATGTCAAAGCTTCTACAAAGCAAAGACACTTAGAAGCACTCCCAAACTGGGGGAGTGTGCACGAATACTCACCCTACACTACAGTGTACAGGTTTGAACATTTGAAATAGTTCTACACATGGGCAGGAAATGGTTTAATGCATTTTCTTCCAGAAAAAGATACACCTCGTATTTTTTATTTGAGGTGTCTTTGTTAGAGCCATCGGGGATAAATAGTTTTTTCCATTTGATAGAAAGGAATAAAAAAAAAAAAAAAGGAAACACAAAATCTAACACTCACCTCAGAGAAATAGAACAGGGCTGATTCACAGAAAAGTATGTCAGCCAGATAAACAGTCCCGCTAGTCAGCACCTCAATCTGGTATTTACAGAAATGATGACTTCGCAGAAATTCACTAAAGTGCCTGCATGCAGACAGAATAACAAATTAGTTACGAAAGGTCAACAGCATTCAAGGCACCTTATGAATCAATTAGCTCTTACCCCAGAAGTCTTACACCTTTAGGTGGATAAAAGCAAAACAAGCAAGAAACATTGCAGGTTTACAAATGACACAAGATGTAAAGACTAATAACAGCATGCACGTACAACTTCAGGGAGTGAATACAAGAATGGATTTGGAGGAAGAGATCTGAGCAGTTTCAGATACAGGAGACTGCACAGAAAAGTGATTATATGGTTATACCTCCATACGCATTTTCAACAGAACCACCCTTCGCAAAAGGACAACAGACACGAGAAGCCAAATGATTCAAGCAACTTACTCTTGTTCCATTGCATTAAACACTATTGACTGTGCTGTAACAAAACAGTTCGGATCCACTTGTCCGTCTTCCCCGCAAATCTTTGCTGCAAAGAAAGACCAGGTTAATTTTAACCTGCATTTGGCTGACCGAGCTGAAAGACACGAGTGATGACTAGTTAATGAAAAATCGCAGTTCAAATCCACTAGAATCAGCTGGTTCTGACTGTGCAAAAAGAGCTTTTTAAAGTACTGCAGATAGCCAAATGACAATATTACAGCTAAAATATGCGACAGACTCAATTCTGGATTCCCCCATAACCACCAGGAATTCTTTCACTAATTTAAGCAAAGTCTCTGAACGTCTGGGGATATTGCACAGCACTACTGAAAGGTCAGATCCACTGATACTTCTAATGTGATCTACCACCTTTTTTCAACTGACTTTAAAATTCATCAAAATAAGAAGAAATACCAGTGTGTATGGTATTAAAGATACGTTTTTATGAGGAAGGAGGAAGCTCTAAAATGAGTAGGCAGTATACATTCTTACCAACTATGTCATTTCTCATCGCTTCTGTAATAGGTATTGGTTTAGCAGCATCTGGAGAAATATATTTGGTAAAAGTACTAACTGCATCCCGTTCTATACCTACAATGAAGAAATACAGAATCAAACTTTGAATTCCTTGGCATAGGTCTAAAATGAGGAGCAAAGAACAAGCATTTGCTCTTCAGAAAAGCAAGTATCTAGTTGTCAGCAACAAGTTCCCTTCCCATGAAGCTTTCAGTTCACTACCTGATACTTTGCTATGATGAGCCACGGTGACTGTGCTGTCTCTAGCCAGGTCAGAATAAGCCCAGCATGGACTGACTAGCGAGATGGAATAAAACAACGTGGCTCTGAATCCCCGAACACCAGACAAGACAGCAGCCTCTTCCTCAGCTGCACACCTGAGTTCCAGAAGGAACACCTTTATGGCAAGAACTGCAGTGAAGTTCCCAATTTCCAGCTCTCATTATAGAGAATATAAAACACTTGCATTATAAAGGAATTAAAAGAAATAAAAAAAAAATCTTAAAAAGGGGATGCCTCGGAACAAGATGTATGCTTTACATGTCATCAAGGGAGAGTTGGGACACTGCTCTGGAAGAAAGAAAAAAGTTACACTCCAGACTCTTCAGATTTCTCAAAAAGGACCTTGTCCTTTCAAATTCTTTTTAGAGATCAGAAAGCAGAGGGGCTTTTCATGACTAAGGTATCACTGCACCTTTAATATACTTTGGGGCTGAGGTTATGTATTGTGGAGGTACATTCTCTTAATATGTACCTCCACAGTAAGAGGTACCTTTGTGGAGTAACTATATGAGAAAGACAAACAGCAAGAGAAAGGGATGCAACATAAGGAAACAGTTGGGCAAACAGAAGGAACCAATATGAAGAAAGGAGTGTTTCCTTTTTGTCTGTAGCCTTGCACAAATGAGGGAGGACTGAGTAGATGCAAAGTAGAGAAACAGGTTATTGCACATGTAGCTTACTACCAAAAGTAAATATTTGGATTTCATCCTTACTTCCAGTCACCTCTGAAGAGGTGGATTCCTAATAAGAACAAATCAATTACAAGGGGAGGAACTCTATCAAATAAATCCAAGAACAAAACCAGTACATTCCACACACAAATCTCTACAAGTCTCTTGCAACCATTACTTATGTCATTTTATGTGATTGAGGATATTTACCTTCCGTGGAAATTTAGTTAGCAATTCTGAGCCCCATCATCCATAGTTTCTGCAATTCTTTTAAGCTGGGGGTGGGATGGGTGAGGGAAGAACGGGACATTGCAATGTTCATCTTCATTTCTTAATATTACACATGTAGGAACAGAAGTAACCTAAGCTTATTAGAGTACATAATGATTTTCAAATCTCTTCAGCAGCATATTTATTTTTAAACAACTAGGCAGTCAAACAATACATAGCTCAAATTGACCATGAGCTTATACAGCAAGTTAACATCACTGATATACAAAATTATTTTCCTCCTTGCAACATCAGATCAGGCTTACCAAGAACAGGTGAGAACCAAGGCAGCTCACCGTGCAAAGAGAGCAGCAGCGAGCATGCTTCCCATCTCCCCACCTTTTTAAAGAAAGGGAACACATGGCACTTACTTTTCATTAGTTTTCCTGACAAGTCTTTTAGTGCAGAGGAGGGGCTGTTTCTATTTGATACCGTAAGCTTGGAAGATTCTTGCTGATCAGCTGGAACAGAATAAGTCCCTGTCTCAGATTTTCTTAGACAAAGAACACTGGTATTATCACTCTCCTGACCCGAGAGCACGTGGTTCTGGCTGTTGCTAGTTCTGTCGTTCTTGTCCGAAGTCACTGGCTTGGTCCTGAGCAGACAAACTGCGCTAGAATCCTCCAGTCTCTCCTCAAGCAATCCTGTTGGAGATGATGACGCAGTTTCCTGCTGTTTTGAGGGCGACACTGGCTCTGCCAACGAACTCTGCTTAACTGTGTTCAGGCTATGTGCTCTTATACGGGACCATGTTGTGGAGTGGAAGCTTTCAGCCTCTAACCAAAACTTAACCAAGTGTTCCATTCTGCGTAGTTCCATAAACTGGATAAAATAGGGGAGGGCTACATTGTCCTGCAGAACTTGTTCAAGGGTCTTTGAAAGGCTTGATTTGGTCTCTTGAGCCTGATAATTCAGACACGATCTGCCTAAAGAAAAATATCACGGGAGTAACTCCATATTGTACTGCAGACATGGGTATTCGATAGAAAAACATCCTGCAATGCAACTGGTGAAGAGAGGATTCCAACACAATAGCAGTACACAACATAAAGGAACCTCTTAACAGACAAATGTACTGTCCCCATTCAAAACCCTTCTAGGGTAACACAGATGCTATTGTAACAGCAGTCAAATTTTTTAATTACCTCATCTACTTGCCTCCAAACCAAAGGATGGTGAGCATACCAGTAGCGTACATAGAATAAAGAGGTATGTCGACGTTATTATAGAACTGACGCAGCCTTACCTAAGTCTCCAAAATGAGCAGCTTCCATGTGACTTGGCTGCTTCTTAAGGGCAGCTGTCCGACTGCTAGAAAAAGAGTCCATGTTGGCAGAGATGGCATTAATTGCCACATGGCTTGGTCCTGCAGCCTCCAGCAAGGCATGATTTCTAGTGCTTCTTTGAGGGGAATGTACTGGTATTGGAGCTGGAATCAAGACAGGAATAATTAAAAGATAAGGATCCCAAGACCTCTTCTAAGCAGTACCCAAAACTAAGCACCCCAACATATGCCAGAGAGTTTGCAAGAGTGAAACTTAATAAAAACCACATTGCACTGTGTGTCATCTTTGATCAAGGGCCTGATAAGAGAGTAAAGGCCACAGAAATAAACTTTTATTATAACAAGAACAAACTCACTTCCAATAGACCAGTGGTACCCACCCACCTACATTTTCCTTATGCAGTACCTAATCAAAAGATGACAAGTCTAAGTTTACACGTGAAATATTATTCCTGAGTCTTCCTGCTTCCTTGATAACTGCTATAGTAGCTGAATACTTTGTCAACAATTCCATTTAGCTGCAATGTTCTTGCCAATCCACTTCCATACCTTTTTTAAGGCTAAAATGTGTTACAAAATCCTGAACTACAAAGCTTCTATGAGTTTTAACAAGAATATTTTTCAAAAATATTTTCTTTCCCTCTATTTGAAAAAAAAAAAAAAAAAAAAAAAAGGCAGTAAGGAAATATCTATGATGAAACCCAGGTTAACCTCAACCTACTCTAGCTGTTTTAATCAGAGCTGGCTATTTGAGCCCAAAATGAACAAAGAACAACTTCCTCACACAAAAGTCTGCCAGTGAAAAAGCATCAACTAATTGTTAACTGATGACAAAGCTGAAAAAACAAAACACGCTCATAGCAGTTTCAAAAGCTCTCCGGAAGTTGCATTTGATTAGGATGTCACGCAAGGACATCTTACACCTCTGACTCTCAAAGCGAGTCAGATGACACTATCGCAGCACACTACTTCCTAACAACACATTTCATCAAGGTGTCAAGCAACTTGGTTTGATGACTCTCATGCTGCATAACTTTATTTTTGTTCACAATTTTATGACACACGATGACAGAAGTTGACAATTTCACACTTGCGCGTCATGGTAACAGATACCTTAGGAGCAATGGTATAGGAGACTTAAAAGTGTTTGAGCTATTGCAAAGTGTTTCTCTGGTTGCAGCGTTTGGTACCAAGACACTGCTTGTCACCTCTTACAAAGCCTTTGTATTTAATACAGGCAATAATGGAGAAAACACATTTTTTTTCCATGCCAGTGAGATGGCAGCCAGTTGCTTGGCTGACAACAGCAACTGGGGAAAACTTGCTGGAGGCTACTCGTGTAGAACCAGAGCCACAGTCCTCATAACGGTTCAGGCTTTTGTGAATTAGATTCAAATTTAATTTTATATCATGAACATTTGAAGAAAAATTGTTCTACTTAATCTAAGGATCAAACACCTGCTCCAGAGCCTCCAGATAGCACCACATCGCTAACCGAACACCATACAGATCGTGGAGTAGCCGCTTGCCAAACTGGAAAGATGCTCTCTGTTTGCAGCAGCTCACGATGTGTAGCGCAATAAATTTTCACATTTATTTTTATTTACAGGTAAGGTAACCTCTTTCAGTTTGTCATCAGAGATTGTAGTCCCACTGAAATCACAGGGTATGCTACTGAACGGACACAGCCTACTGTTGCCTGTATTTTATTTGGAAGACAGACCACCAACATGAAAAAAGCCTTTAATTTTCTCTTGATATCCAGATAACACATTAACAAGTACAGAAACAGGATTTTGTCTGAGGATATAAAAGTAACAGATCAGGCTCACACAAATTACCTCATCTCCTTTTAGTATTGCAATAAAAAATGACAGGATAAATAATCTTGTTTTCCCACAGTTTTATAAACTTCCTTCCCATCACGATTTTTTTTCCTCTCCTACCAGATTTAGCAGCAAGATTTCTGTATCACATGGAGCAGCATCAGAATAGCTATTCTGACCAAGATTGAGATCTTCAGTCTCACAAGCCACATCAGTCAAAGTTAAATCAGACACTGGCAGTCTCTTTTGCAAATTAGACACAGTTAAGCTGCGTTTTCAAAACTGCAAAGTATGCTACGTGTAAGCAAGAAACTTCAGAAGCAATTTATTGCAGATAAGGAATAACCACTATTTGTAAGGTGACTGAATTGCATGATCACTTTGAATTAAAGCTCATGTCTGACATAATTTAATAACCTTCTGTACTTACAGATTCAGCAAGATGACTAGGAAAGATTAGTTACTATAAATAGTCAGAAACAGAATTAAGTTTTGGATGCATAGGTCACATCTGTGCTCAGTCATAAGGAAATTATTCCACTGGTTAAAATAAAAAAGGCAAATTATATTAGATATCTGAATTTATAGGCAAAATAAATATTGATCTTACTTTTAATTACTTTCACATCTGTGGTCTTTTCTTGTTCTTTGCCTTTCACTGTAAAATACAAGGGAAAATGTTAATGCTATTTTGGGTGACTAATGGCATTTACCAGAGAATGGACATAGAAGTCCCAACTTCAGCAAGTATCAAAGGCAGATGTAAACTACCATTTTGTTAAGACTGATCTCTTGTATTTAAATCTGCACATCTAGTGACTGACAGAGGCTTTCGAAGCTTTTTGTGTTCGTTTATTTTCAAAAGCAAACCCTTAGCATCCATGAATTAAGTTTAATGAAATACAGTATGTTAAAATTAGCATTGAGAAAGGTGCTCACTGTCTATATGATTAAAGCAAGGCCACGTTCAAGGTTACTTTAATAAATAGCATGAACTGGAAAGAATGGGATAGATATGTGCCAGGGCACTGGCAGATGCTCTCTATGAACTAGAAATCATGCACCTAAACCCAGCATCTCCCTCGTATTACAGGACAAGCAGTACAACACCCACAGCCAGGGAGACATACGTGGAACCAGCCCCATGAAGCCAGAGCCAGCCCACGACTCCTCGGTCATGACGGATACCAGAGAAGTGTTCCAGGGACACGCTGCAAATAGTTAATCTTCTCACAAATAACACCGCTTAACTACCATCCAGCCTATGGCAAGCAACTGACGGGAAGGTAATAGTTAAAAAAAGTTGTGATGGAAAAGTAATCTTTTAGTAATTTTTTTTAAAGGAAGCTCCTAAAGGAAGCGAATGAGGAGATCTGTTTAAAACAAAAATAAAGAAACCGAAGGAGTACATAAACAGGATGGCATGAGAAACAAATTAAGTGGCGATATTGAAGAACATGATCTACCAGCGAAACCTTCTCCGGCTGCTGGGATTATTACTACAAATAGGTCATCTCTGAACACTGATTGTGGAGCCCTTCCAAACGCAGCCACAAATCATAACCCAGCACAATCAAACATTCACATGACAAAACACGAGCAGATCAAAACCAAAACCCAAACCCTTCCTATTCTAAGTATTTTAAATATTTTAAAGGGAAACTTCCATCTCTGGTTACATAATTGTCCTGCACGGTGGCGGCTGCAGCGCAGCCGTGCTGCCAGCCTTCGCTGCGAGAAGTAAAAACGTTGCAGGTCTGTGAATTGGCAACTCAGCGTTTAAGACTCAAGCTAGCAGCTAGCACATTCTCTCTCTGACAGAGGGGTTTAAGCGTCCGTTAAAAGAGCTGGATTCTTTTAAAACCAAACTCTTGCAGCCAGATGCAGCTGTGAACAGTGAGAACAACCAGCTTTACATAACTGGGGGCGTGCTGATATGCAGGAGGGGAAAAAAAATATCACTAAAAAAATCCGCACATCTGAAGTAACACGGAGGTACAACGCGGACGAAGCAACCTCTACACAGTATTAGAAACCGTTATCTTTCTGAAGTTATTCCAACAGTTGATTCATCAAACCTATTCCTAACTATTGGCAATGATTCCTGAGTTTGAACAGTAGAGTCCTCAATAATCCTATTTCCAGTTTAAATACATCTGTTCCTTGTTACCAACTACTCCGTTCCTCTCTAATTACCTACTTATTACAGGTAATATACAAATATGGGTTCATGTTCCCAACCTCTTCTTTTGTCCCCATCAGCTTCAAGCAGAACAAAGTGAAGAAGTAACAGCAGAGGACAAAAGAAAACTCCAATATGTGACAAGACCAAATTTTAGAGAGTGAAGTTTCACTACAGGAATTTACTTTCACTTTCCTCAAAACACGGATGTCACTTGGTGTCTGTGTGAAGCCAGAGAGATAACTGCGGTACAGGATGACCAAGGACTAGAAGCGTGTGAAGATTTCCAGTAGCAAACCACACATCAAGCCCACACAAGCCAACCATGTGAGATTTGAGAATTTTAAGTCACATCTTGAAATACAAAAGAATGGACAAACCTAAGCTGTACATGTACTGTTCACACGTGTACGTATGCAAAAAGCAGTAACACGACTTCAGAGGTCAGCCAGCTGGTAGGACGGTGTACGTTATCTCCAAGATACGCCCAGGGAAGGAGCATGCAGCCTGGCTGTTTTCCCCAATAACAATCTCATAATCTGCCCTTGAGCCCCCCAGCTGCTGTAGTTTAATTTCTCAACCTATTATCCACCCTCAGTTTTCTAGACCTTTATTTTAAGGCACATACTAAAAAACTATTCTACTATTATTTCTGAGCTTTCTCTACACGTTTTCACTTTAAAAAAAATGTTTTTATTTCTACCCAACAACAATACTTCAACCCAAAGACACTGATGCTTTTATACGGTTTTGGACTGCCCGTGTCTAGTCTACAGAGTTTTACCACAAGGCTCAATTTGTTGCTTTTCTCCCAGCTGCAGTTTAAGATCATCTCTTAAAAGCCAGTATCTAAAATGGAGAAATACAAACCAACATTATTTTATGTACAACCCAGATGAAAGCTTACTTCTCTCCTCAACAGCACCTCTCTTGGGCATTTGGTTCTGACTGTGCTTCTCTGACCAAAGATCCTTTAATCAAAGTAACACAGACAGTCAATTAGCTGTTTCATTACTTTCTCCCTGAGAAAGGTTTTGCCAAAGCTTACATTCTTCCTATGATTACGATCAGGATGAAACAACAGCTCCAAAATTCTCTTCATCAACGGAAGCAGCAGCAGCTATTTTGGAGCAGTTTATAAGCAGTACGAAAGTTTTATTCTGCAGCTCAGCATTAGTATGTAAACACCCCAAAAAGGATTACGGCACTTGCAAAACCTGCAGTGGGCTTCAAGGATCTTCAGAACTATTAATATGAGCAGAATTTTAAACTCATTTCTTCCAGGATTACTGCATTAACCTCTGACCTCCACAAAGAATGAGATTTTTGATGCTGCTACTTTGGCTGAGCAAGCTACAGGACATGTCAGTCAGGAGCAAAAACATCATCTCAGATAATACGTTCTTTCTTCCTAACTTACAGTCTTGCTTCCCAAGATGAATGTTTTGGGCTTCAGTAACTGACAAATGCTTTAGGAGAGCATTGTATCGGCCACTGCTGGAGAAGCAATGGTCGTACTGCTTGAACTACAGCATTACAAGAAAACAGAACTACTTTCCCAAGAGGCCCTCCCTAAAAGGTGCCACTTTCAACAAAAACCACTCAAACCGCACACTGTGCAGATTGAAAGCGCACTACACCACATTTCATCACGAGCTGTAGCGCAAGTGCCTTCAAAACATTTCACTCTCAAAGAACATCTAAACTATATCCATTTGTGCAATGGGAATATTATAAATATTTCAGGAGTCCTAAATTTCCAACCTTAGCTTGTGCTCCATAACATCGACAAACATATTACACAATAAATCGCCAATGACTCCTTTGGCTCTTAGGAAGAACCCAGTGCGATGAGGGCTTTCAGCGAGGGTTTTTAGCTACTGCAGTAGCGTACTTTGCCTGCTAGATTTTTACAAAACCACGCACATCAGCGTTGTGAAAAAAATGCACAGTAAACAGCCGAAGAGGCTCAAACACTGCACGAGGTGCGAGGCGTTCCACGCCAGTCCAGCGACTGCCCAACCCGCCCGGTTCAGAAGCGCCGAGCTCCGGTCCCCCGGCCGAAGGGCGGAACG